AGCCCAGGTCGGGCTGAGGGGCCCCCCCCCCCCGAGTGCACAAATTTTTGTGCACTGGGCCTCTAGTTTATTATATAAAGGGCAGATAGCAGGGCTGATAAGTTTTTAGCATGGAGTATTGAGTACACAGAGATCCCAACTCAGAATTTTACAGATCTTTAGTTATAGGGTGAAGAAAAAAAAATAAAATAAAGAAAAGAAAAAAAAATAATTTTATAGATCTTCAAACTCTTTGTGGACACCAGGTTGAAAAGACCCAATATGGATCCACCCTAGGAAATACATATTTGTTCCCAGCTTCACTCTTCGCACCCCAGCTTTTGCTAAACACAGAACTGGGAGGGCGTTAAAAGATGCCACAGCACATGTATATCAGGGGATAAAACAACATCCTTGAAATTCTTCACTGGAACAAACAGAGGGGCATCTGGGAATATGTCACATAATGGGGAAAACCTTCTCTTGGCCACACAGTAACCTCTAGCAAATGAATCTTCAAAAGAAAAAGACTAGTTTATCATGTATGAACTATGTACCAGCAAAGTGAATGTAAGTGATCAAGCAACTTTCTCAAGAATACATGGTTCTACTAAAATTAAGATGTGTTTAGGTGATGCACATTTTTACTAGGAAAGTATCTTCAACTGGGAGAGTAGAACGCATAGGTGATGATGAAGGCTATAATAGTTTCACAATGAAAAAACTTAAGATTCTGAGGATGTTTGCTTTTCTCCTATGCCAAAATGTTCTAATACAGATGATGTCATAAACATATGGGCTTATTTGCTTTTCACTGATAAGTCAAATAAAAATGGCAAGAGATTAAGATGACAGATGTTTCTTATAAATATTAAACATATAAAAAGATGACTGACTTGTTTAGGTGCTTTAACAGCTCACTATCATACAAGACACAAGTTATAAGTACTTACAAAAAAAGAAAATGATGGTGGTAGTCTCTGCACATAACTAGGTTTCATGTTATTCCCAGCACATTGTTGAATATATTGAAAAACCAAACAAACCCATAATTGTTATATTGACTTATTATTTTGTTGTTGTTGTTGTTATTTAAAAGACTGGAGTTGAGTAGTTGCAACAGAGATCATTTGCTTCACGAAGCCTAAAATACTAACTGGCCTCTTGATTTGGGGGACTGTTTCTGAAGGAAAAAAAAGTGACTCAGAAAGATGTATATGCACTAGTAACAAAGGGTCTGACTAAATGGGTACAGTTCTGGAAAGAAAAGAGCAAAGGGCAGAGGACCACCAGAATTAATGCTAGGATGGATTGGTCTTACATTCTTACAAATGATTTGCAAGAAGAAACTGAGAAACATCTCCAAATCCACTGATTGCATTAGGCTCTGCTAGCTGACAGTGTTAATTCAAAAGACGGGAGAGGATGAGGGTTGGAAGCTGAGTTTTAACATAGGCACACATATGATAGCAAGAAAGTAATGCAAAACATGGCTCCATGCTATCGATTACAACACAGATACAGACACCTATGAGCCATTAGAATGTATTTCCTGAAAACAGTATACTAAATTACATAAAAATCAATCAAATCCTGGATAGGAGAGCTAGCAGAAGACATTGTCCTATGCTTGTTTAAAATGTGGTACTTCACCCAGTGCAGTTTGCACTGTGCACACTGGAGCCCCAGGAAGACCCTATAGAACAGGAGACCTCGAAAAGCAGCTAAAATAATCCAGGAGGCAGGGCTGAAATTTAAGAGAAGCAGGATGCCAAGACCTAAACAGGGCTTGGCAAACTACTGTCCATGCCAAATCCAGCTGGCCACCTGCTTTCATTAATGAAGTTTTTCTGGAACACAGCGCACTGGTTCATTCATGAATTGTTTGTGGCTGTCTTTGCACTTTTAACAGCAGAGTTGAGTAGCTGCAACAGAGATCATCTGCTTCACAAAGCCTAAAATACTAACTGGCCTTTACAGAATAAGTTTGCTGACCCCTCACCTAACTCATAAATAAAGAAGTCACAAACAACTTACATTTTGGAAATTAAAACAAGAAATCAGAAAACTGGATCCAAGAAGAATAAACTTATGAAACACATCACCCTAAACAGAATCAAAGGCTAAAAGCTTCAAGAATAGGTTTAGAGCCATTCATAAATAATCTCTTAGTTACCAAGGAAGATGGCTATTTGGGAGAAAGATATAAGCTTAGTTTTTGGAGAGAGAGAAATAAGAAAGACACCAACACGACTATCCTCTCAGTTAGACAATTATGTCTCTGTCCCCTAGTGCCATTGTCAGAGACAGTGGACCACTGGACTGGAAGAAGTGTGGTTTGACTTCTGCCCAGTGCTACTCCCCCAGAGAGTGAGAGAGAACTCTCCTTTGATAATCACCTGAAAATGGCCTACAACTCCCACAGATGCACTGTAAATTTTCCATCCTTTCTAAAAATCAAAGTAATAAATGTTTTTAGAGCTACCACCACCTCCAAACAGGACATGATACAAAAAAGTCCCAAGAATGTTGCCACCTTGAAGGCAGGGAAAAAGGAAAGTTGTTCAACATCCACAATATGTCCACTTTACATTCTAAGGCATTTGCTATTTTGCTGGCAGGAGAATGGCCCTACTGATAGGCTGGCATGTGTGTCTATTTCCCTGTCTCGGAGGTCAGGCTGGACTGGATGCCACAGTGTGCCACCAGGTGTGGTGTGTGACTGACTTCTCTACTCTCCAATCCGGAGACAAACACAGCTGCAGTCCACAGTGCAGAGGAGCTATGGGTGGCAGTTTGAGAACATCTGAAAAAGGAAAAGGCTTTCCACTAACAGATAAATATTATACATAAATTTTGTTGATCACTTCAAGTACAGGAAAAACAGTATGGTCATCCTTGCTCAAAGGATTCTTTGTGTTACAGAAATCATGCTCTGTGCACCTTTGTATCAGTAACAACTAGATTTAGCAAAATTTTAGTATTCCTGGTGATTAATAAAGACAAGTACAGGATCTGGCTAAGAATATTTAATTATAATTATACTAGAGGCCGGTGCATGAAATCTGCGCACTTGGGTGGGGGGGGCGGTCCCTCAGCCTGGCCTGCACCCTCTCACAATCCGAGAGCCCTCGGGGGATGTCTGACTGATGGCTTAGACTGTGGGGAGTGGGCTTAAGCCAGCAGTCGGACATCCTTAGTGCTACCTCGGAGGCAGGAGATCAGACATCCTTAGCACTGCTGCGGAGGCAGGAGAGGCTCCCGCAATGGCTGCTGTGCTCGCCAGCGTGAGCCTGGCTTCTGGCTGAGCAGTGCTCCCCCTGTGGGAGTGCACTGACCACCAGGGGGCAGCGCCTGCATTGAGCATCTGCCCACTGGTGGTCAGTGCACATCATAGTGACCGGTCGTTCCGCTGTTTAGTCGATTTGCATATTAGCCTTTTATTATATAGGATATCTACTCTATTTTTATATAGGTATCTGGTTAACCAACTCTTATTTGAGTTTTGACAGTACTTTATTATTCAGGTAAAATCTACAAAAAATAAAAAAAAATTGATGGCGAGCCCAGTACAATCTTTATTCCACATAACATCACTCCATGCAAGGTGGATTTAGAATGCTTTAAAATATACTACAGCAAACTAAATGTATGTGGTAAAAGTATAACATTTTTCCAGGTTCCCCAAGATATCTTAGTCACAGCTTCTTACCTTTGATGGAGGTTTTGGCAATGAAGTCGGATCTTCTGGAAGCCTATGGAGTGAAAAATAAGATTTTTAGTCTTGGTTTTTCATAGACAAGCAAACAGAAAAGCTGGGCCAATTTAAGATTCCGTAAGTGTTCTTTCTTCTGACAGCTTCAGCTCTATATACTTTAATGTACAATCATTTCAGTGTAAAGAATGAAATTTGTCTAAATGAATAAATCTTTACCCTAGCTGGTTTGGACCAGTGAATAGAGCATTGGCCTGCAGACTGAAGGGTCCCGGGTTCGATTCTGGTCAAGGGCAAGTATCACGGTTGCAGGCTCCTCCCCGGCCTGGGCCCTGGTCAAGGCACATGCGGGAAGCAATCGATGTGCTTCTCTCACATTGATATTTTTCTCTGTCTTTCCCTCTCTCTTCCACTCTCTCTAAAAATCAATAGAAAAATATCCTTGGGTGAGGATTAAAAAATAATGATAATAAATAAAATAAATAATCAATTACAAAATTTAAATCAATCAATCAATAAATAAATAAATCTTCATTTCACTAATTCCTTGTATGGGAATTGTCTGAACTAAAAAATAAAATTAGAACTCATTTGTTGAAATCAAATTGCTTTTCTTTAGCCTCCACAAATTTGCATTTTTGGCATTATAGTATTTCTTCTTCATAAATATGAATCTAGCACATATTTAAAAGTTAAAATTATATTAACTGTTGACAAAAAGCCACACAAAATTTACTTTGTTTTCCACCAGAGAGAAGTTTAATTGACATATCTTTCTCCCCAAATCTTTAACCTAAGCTTAAAAATTTTAGTCGAAAGAAAGGAATGTGAAATATAATGGAGTACAAAGACATAAGGTATCTAACTAGATAAGGAGCAACTAAGTAATCCAGGGAAATATTAAACAGAAGGATATGGTTATCATTAGTTTAAAGCAGGCTTTCAACACATTTTAACTACCACAAAAAACAATTTTTGCTAGTTGTTTTTTAAAGGAGGACCTATGCAATTTGCTAAAAACATCAACTAAAATCTATTAAAAAGTCATTTTATCTTCATGTATGAGAGGAAAATGTAATTATAGGGATGAGAAAGTACATTAACTTATCACACACATAAAATCGGAAAAACAGTTACCTAAATCTAGAAAAAAAACATTTTTTTTAAGGTAAAGTCTTATATTATACTAGAAGACGAGTGCACGAAATTTGGGCACAGGGGCAGGAGGGGGAGGGAGTGGTCTCTTGAGTCTGGCCTGCACCCCTCACAATCCAGGACCCCTCAGGGGATGTCCGACGGCTGGTTTAGGCCCGGCAGTCGGACATCACTCTCGCACTCCAGGACCGCTGGCTCCTAACCGCTAGCCTGCCTGCTTGATTGTCCCTAACCACTCTGCCTGCCTGCCTGATGCCCCTAACCACTCGCCTGCCTGCCTCATCACCCTTAACCGCGCCTCTGCCTCGGCCACTGCCGCCATGGCTTTGTCAGGAAGGTCGTCCAGAATGATGTCCGTAAGGTTGTTCAGCTGTCCGGTCTAATTAGTATAGTACGCTTTTATTATTATAGAAAGGAACACAAATGAGGTTATTCTTAAACCCCTCTGTCCTTAAAGACACAAGACTCTATTTTTTCCTTTTTTTGGATTCCAAGTGCTGGGTGTAATAAAGTTACTCAGTGAACACCTTATTTTTTAGTTCAGACAATTCCAATTTCAGTATCTAATGAAAATGGTACAAATCTTTAAATGTAACTTTCAAAAATATTCTACACAACACCTACTTTCTTTGCTACTTTTATTTCTATTAAAATGATCAAAAGAGCCCTAACCAGTTTGGCTCAGTGGATAGAGCGTCGGCCTGCAGACTGAAAGGTCCCAGGTTCGATTCCGGTCAAGGACATGTACCTTGGTTGCGGGCACATCCCCAGTTGGGGGTGTGCAGAAAGGCAGCTGATCGATGTTTCTCTCTCATTGATGTTTCTAACTCTCTATCCCTCCCCCTTCCTCTCTGTAAAAAATCAATAAAATATATTTAGAAAAAATAAATAAAATGATCAAAAGAACCAAATTTATTAAGTCTAAGGAGGGATAAAATTTTAATATAGTTCACTGTCTAAAATCATACCAACCCATACTTCCAATCCTAACACAAGTTCTCCAATCAGTATCCACTAAATCAATTCATTTCAATCAAGGAATGCCCATTAAAAATCAACTCCAAACCATACAGTTTATAACATAACTCTAAAATAATCTCTTATCAGAAACAGTGATATGATAAGTCATAAAGAAATCATATTGCTGGAACACCAAGAAGTGAAAAGGTACTTCTTAATTATGACTGAAGATGAACAATACTTACTTTAAATATTTAGATAAGTCATCACTTAATTCTTTAGTGATGTAATCAGATATCAGGCCATGGGCATAACGAATATAGTCCTCTGAAAGAAACAGAAGAGTAAAAAAAATTATAGTAATAATTATGAAAGATTTAAAGTCAAGTTGACCAGAGTTCAAATTCTGACTTTATATGGCCTTAAAAATTCAAGCTTCTCACCCATTTTCTCATGTGTAAAATGGGGATGCTAATGTATATCTGTCAGAGTAGTGAGGTATTATGATGGATGAAGACATAAGATATCCAAGATATGATCATATAATACAAATACAACACAAAAGATGCCCACTAAATGACAGATAAAATCCAAATTCAGGGTTGTTTTCTTAGTTGAGGCCCTTGAATACAAATAAAGTTCAAAAATCAGTTATAACAATATGAAATATTGTTAGCCCTTTGAAAAAGACTAATTGTTTCTCTAGGTCTGTTTCAATATAGAATAAATCTAATTATTTAACAGTAATGAGTATGCTCATTTAACTAATAAGCTCTTGCTTTATAAGAGTCCTGAACATTATATTATATATTCTTCCAAACTAATAAAATGAAAAAAGAAACAACACTAAACTCAGCAGAGTGTATAATCATTAATTTTAAAGCATTTGGATCCTTGGTACTGAGTATTAATTAAGTGCAGTTACATAACACAATAAAATCTGTTTTAAAGCCCTGTTCCTTAATTCAGTATCTTATGCAGGGGATAATCAAATTTAATCATAAGATAGGATAATCACATCGGGATATAAACTATCAATATCCCAGGTTTGTTGCTAAGATATTTATTAGCTTCTTTTTTTCTTTCTCTTCTACCTTCAAGTTAAGATAACAATTTGCCTCAGTATTTGTTAGAAAGTGTTTGCTTCTTGGATCACCTGATCTCAAAAAGTCTTCAGTAAGAGGTTTTTACTACCAATGTAGAAATGGAACATTTCTCAAAATGTGCTCATGGTTCTGAGCTAGCAATTATCCAATGAGTCATGAATGGACAAAACAATTTTAAGAACATCATTTTAAGAATTTTAAGTGTTTGCTTCTTTTGGTAGCATATCAAGCTAGAGATCTTGAAAAAGGAACTAGCATAAAGAGTGGCTGGGACACTAAATGGCAATATACACTTATATGTAGAGATTAGCAAAAACACTGGACTGGGAGCAGATGACCTGGCCTCCTAGCCAGGATGGTGACCTGGGACAGTCGTCCATTTCTCTGAGACCACAAATTCTCATTTTGTATTTATTTATTTTTTAAAATCTTTATTATTTAAAGTATTACATATGTCCCCTTTCTCCCTCATTGACTTTCTCTACCACACCCACCCCAGGCCCTCACCACCCCACTGTCTGCATCCATGGGTTATGCATATATGCATACAAGGTCTTTGGGTGATTACCTCCCTTCTCTCCAAGATTCCACGCTCATGGTTCCATGTCTCTAGATCCACTCAGTTCATCAGTTTATTTTGTTAGATTCCATATATAAGTAAGATCATGTGATACTTGCCTTTCTCTGACTTATTTCACTTAGCATGATACTCTCCAAGTCCCTCCATGCTGTCTGAAAGGGTAAACGATTCTTCTTTTTTACTGTTACATAGTATTCCATGGTATAAATGTACCACAGTTTTTTATCTAATCCTCTACTGATGGGCACTTGGGCTGTCTCCAGATCTTAGCCATTGTAAATTGTGCTGCTATGAACGTAGGGGTGCATACATTCTTTCTGATTGGTGTTTCTGATTTCTTAGGATATCTTCCTGGAAGTGGGATCACTGGATAAAATGGCAGTTCCATATTTAAGTTTTTGAGGAAACTCAATACAGTTTTCCATAATGGCTGCACCAGTCTGCATTCCCACTAGCAGTGTACTAGGGTTCCCTATTCTCAACATCCTTACCCGCCTTCTCTCCGAGATTCCACACTCATGGTTCCATGTCTCCAGATCCACTCAGTTCATCAGTTTATTTTGTTAGATTCCATATATAAGTAAGATCATGTGATACTTGCCTGTCTCTGACTTATTTCACTTAGCATGATACTCTCCAAGTCCCTCCATGCTGTCTGAAAGGGTAAACGATTCTTCTTTTTTACTGTTACATAGTATTCCATGGTATAAATGTACCACAGTTTTTTATCTAATCCTCTACTGATGGGCACTTGGGCTGTCTCCAGATCTTAGCCATTGTAAATTGTGCTGCTATGAACGTAGGGGTGCATACATTCTTTCTGATTGGTGTTTCTGATTTCTTAGGATATCTTCCTGGAAGTGGGATCACTAGATAAAATGGCAGTTCCATATTTAAGTTTTTGAGGAAACTCAATACAGTTTTCCATAATGGCTGCACCAGTCTGCATTCCCACTAGCAGTGTACTAGGGTTCCCTATTCTCAACATCCTTACCAGCACTTGTCATTTGTTGATTTGCTGATGGTGTGAAGTGATACCTCATTGTTGTGTTAATTTGCATCTCTGATGATCAGTGAACTTTGAACATTTTTTCATATGTCTCTTGGCCATCTGTGTGTCCCCTTGGAGAACTGTCTATTTAGGTCTTTTGCCCATTTTTTAATTGGATTGTTTGTTTTCCTTCTGTTAGGTTGCATGAGTTCCTTATATATTTTGGATATTAACCCTTTATCAGGCGTATCATTGCCAAATACATTCTCCCATACAGTGGGCTCCCTTTTCATTTTGTTGATGGTTTCTTTTGCTGTGCAGAAACTTTTTATTTTGATGTAGTCCCTTTTGTTTATTTTCTCCTTAGTTTCCTTTGCCCTAGAACAGTGGTTCCCAATGTGGGGCACATGCCCCACAGGGGGCAATTTGATTTTTAAGGGGGGCAATTTGAGAATGAGTTAA